ACACCACCACTTTCCTAATTCCCATGTGTGTTACAAGAATCTTGGGGGAAATTCTCTTCTATGTGCTTGCTTTTTTTCTGGAGTCTTAAACCATCCGTCCACTGCCCATACATAGAATGTAATTTTCAGGATTGACAGCTGCTAATTCCAATCCCCTGGACCTTTCCCTGCCCTTTAATCCCTGCTGATCAGCCTTCAAACCACTGTGAAGACTTAGACCTTCTGGAGCCGCTGTGTGGTGAAGTTTGGACTCCAGCTCTAATCTTTCACCCACGTGGTTGAACAGCTTAACTTCTAAGATATTCTTTTACAAGATACTTGGGCCTATTCCCAATCTTCAATCTGCTACCCCCAGGTGTGAAAGGTTCAGGGCTGACTATAACCCATTAGGCTTACAAGAACTGTGGCCCCCTTCCAAGCTGGGCATGGAGGAGGGAGCTTGGCCACAACTGGCCTGTCTATGCTAGGCAGTGGACTCAACACTTGAAAGCCACCATCTCATGTGGTTCTCAACAACCCCATGGGAGAGGTTCCCTCATTTGCCCATTTTAGCAGATGTATCCAGAACACAGAAATAATCCCAATGGCACATGGATAGAGAGTGGTGAGCTGAGAACTAGAACTCAAGTCTGTTTTAATTCCAAAGTCCATGGTATTAATCATTTATATAGATTAATACTGGGAGCTCTGGTAGCATAGTGCCTAAGGCACTTGACTGCTAACCAGAAGGCTGGTGGTTCAAACCCACCAGCCACTCCTTGGAAGGAAGGCTGGGCAATCTACTTCCATAGTGACACCACCTCGGCAACCCAAGGAGGGGTCGCTATGAATCGGGTCCAACTCGATGGCACATAACAACAATAACAACATAGATTAATACTATAGCAGCTACATTAAGTGATTTCAAATTAAAACTTGAATAAAATTAGTATCAGTGACATGGTTTTTGTGTTAAATTTTGTTCTGCCATTTAAAAATGGTAGCTGTTAAGAAAAATTACTAAAATAAAGACAAAAATTGTGAATAGGAAACACTGAGACTGATTTTAAAAATAATTTCTACAAATGGGTTTTGCCTCCAAAGCAGTCTTGAAAAATACAGCAATGATCCCTCCCATTGCTCAAAGCATTTTTAAGATTACTGTTGGCGTAATACCTGTACATAGATCAGGAGGCTGTCGTTTGAACAGAACAAGGGGATACTACATGGTTCAAAATCAAGAAAGGAGTGCATCAAGGTTGTGTTCTTTCACCATACTTATTCAATTTATATGCTGAGCAAATGAATCTGAGAAATGAGATTATATGAAGAACGTGGCATCAGGATTGGAGGAAGACTCATTAACAACTTGTGATATGCAGATGACACAACTTTGCTTGCTGAAAGTGAGGATGACTTGAAGCACTTACTAATGAAGATTAAAGACAACAGTCTGCAGTATGGATTACACCTCAAGATAAACAAAACAAATCCTAACAACTAGTCTAATAAACAGCTTCATGATAAATGGAGGAAAGACTGAAGTTGTCCAAGGACTTCATACTACTTGGATCTACAGTCAACACCAATGGAAGCAGCAGTCAAGACATCAGATGACATTGCATTGGCAAATCTGCTGCAAAAGACCTCTTTCAAGTGGTAAAGAGCAAAGATGTCTCCTTGAAGACTAAGGTGTGCCTAACCCAAGCCATGGTATTTCCAATCACTTCTTATGCATGTGAGAGCTGGACAATGAATAAGGAAGACCAAAGAAGAGTTGATGCTTTTGAGTTGTGGTGCTGGAGAATACTAAGAGTACCATGGTCTGCTAAAAGGACTAACCAATCTGTCCTGGATGAAGTATAGCCAGCATGCCCCTTGGAAGCAAGAATGGCCAGACTTTGTCTCACCTACTTTGGTCAAGTTGTCAGAGGGAACCATTCCGTGGAGAAGGAGATCATGCTTGGTAAAGTGGAGGGTCAGCAAAGAAGGGGAAGGCCCTTAATGAGATGGATTACACAGTGGCTGCAATGATGGGCTCAGGTATAGCAAGGACCGTGAGGCAGGTACAAGGTAGTGTTTCGTTCTGCTATGCATAGGGTTGCTATGAGTCAGAGAGGACTGGACAGCACCTAACAACAAAAACAACAACAACACTGATGCACTATCAATACTTATTTATAAATAAAGAAAATCCTATGAAATAGCCACACCGTATATTTTTGGTAAAATGAATCGGTTATTTAGGTTAAAATACTAAATGGATTAAAATCAAGGTGGAATGAGACAAACGCTTCTTTCAAATGTGTATAACTCCCAACAAAGAGAGGCAACTTAATTACTGTATGTTGTCGTATAAGCCATGACTAATACTGATCTCACCCTATCAACTATGAGTGGTTCAGTCAAAAACGAACTTCTAAAAGCTGACCTGTTAAAGAGTCAGAAATTTACTATTTAACAGAATCCAGTAGGAAATCATTTTGTAACACCAGATTTTCATACCACAGATTCTGTTCCAAGACTGGCTCCATCTTACCCCTTTGCTATGCAATTTAGCAGTTCCTAAACTGCAAATACATCTTAGCGTTGATGTCAAAAGAAGTTAGCCAATTACTGTCCCCTGAGAAACTGTTATTAACAGTGAATCGTAAAGATATTAAAGGGCTGCAACTTTTATTTCACAAAGACATCTTAGTATTAAAACTGTTCTTCAAAGAACTCCATTTACAAAATGTAATTGAAGTCTAGGTGATAGCTATGCTCAGCAGCTTGCGTATTCTTTTTCAACAAGACATTTCATAAATTGTATGGTTTTAATCTTAAATTTTCATTTCTATTGTAGGAATAAAACACTAAGAAGAAGGAGTAGAGGGAAGAAAGGATCCTCTTGACTAACACCTGGTACTTTAAGACTTTTAATAAAAGATTCATGGTTTCTGTCTGCAGGTAAGCCTGGGCAGCAAGCAGCGAGGCAGAGGCCCAGCAGCACTGCCTGGTCTCACCTCCTTCCTAAACAAGTGTGGCCAAAACACAGTACAGGGAACATAGGGCCTAGTGGGGTTCTTATTAAGGTTTGGTTTTCAACCACAGACTGAAGCAAACAGCAGCTCCATGTGCAATTGGTCTGTACTTGGAAGCCGAGGACCTGAGACTTTCCTTCAGTCTGTGGAGGGCCCTGTGGGAAGCAGCCCTACTCACCTGACAACAAAGACATAAAGAAAGCCACTCTTGTGTCCCTTGTATAAATAGATAAGGATGTTTCAAATGTCTCCCAGGGCCCAAACAGGATATGTGGAAAGATATTTTGAAAAAGATAAAATGATGCTCAGAGGCCAGGCTTTTTGACCTTGGGTAGGCTATAAGTACCTTTAAAACCCTCAGCCAGAAAAAGGCTGCTGTGCCCCTACCCTCATATCCTGGCAGGCGTGGTTCTCAGGGCTGCCAGGCACACTGCTGAGTTCTATCTCTTTCCTGAAATTCCGTGGACAAGAAAGAGCCTTGCCATTTCCAGAACAAGGGGCCACATCCTATGGGGGGGCCACTCTGTTCGGAGAGTGACAAGTGAAGCCCCCTCTCTTCTTAAGCTCGAGGCTCATGTCAAAGGTCAAGAATAAGCCTGGGAGTAAGTGGGGCGCTGTCAGACCACAAGGGTAACCTTTCTTAATGGAAATGGTAGTGGTTTCACAGGTGCTTCCTTTTTTCGTTACGAAACGTTTTAAAAGAATAACCCAAAAGTTTCCTAAACCAGATTCTCTGTGTGGTAGAAATGTTAAGAGCATGGTTATTTTCACACTATGCTATAATTAGATTCAAATTAACAAACTATATTTATTAGCTCCCTTTCATCAATCACAAAATGAAGAAAAAAAAATCTCGGTCATTGGAACTGTGATGTCCATGTCGGTGACCATCCTGTCTGCAACTCTGGATTGAGATTTTTAAAAATTTGCTATTTTGTAATCAATTTTACCACAACAACCTAGTTCTAATCCTAGCTCTGCTACAAAATACCTGGTGACCTTGGGCACTTCACTTAAGGTCTCTGTAAGTTAAGTGAGGCCGCTGGACTTCAGAGTTTCTGACATGGTTCCAAATTCAAAATTCAATCTTGGAAGATTCCTTCACAGGCTAATGATTAAAAGAAGCTTGGGTTACACTATTTGACTTTGCCGCCAAAGAAAAAACAGATGTTCCTTAAAAAACTTTCTCTGTGCCCCATTATTGCTTTATTGGTAAGAAATCCAGACTTGACAGTTGCAGGCAGGTTTACACATGAATGTCTTTCCTTGCCATTCCTTCCCCACTACTGACACTCTAAAAAAAGAACAACAGGCCAAAGAAGAAGGGGCATGGCTTTGGCTTAGATCACCAACCTTTACTTTTGTAATCACTTAAGCTTATTATGATTTAAAATTACACATATTTTTATTTTCAATTCAAATTTTTACAGATTAAAAGATAACATTTTATTAAAGTTGATTTATAGACAGTTTGTAACACACTGATTTCTTAAAAAAAAAAAAAAAGAGAAAGAAACCCTACAAGAGATAGTATTCATTAATAAGAGTGCAGATATGAATGACCAGAAAAACAAACCTCTTCCTGCAAACCCAGCACACAGAGATATTCCCACCAATCCAGCAGCAGCTTCCTGATGATGAGCTGAATAAAGACATAGCATCTTATGCCTTGCCCAGAATGCACGGTGAGCTGCAGGCAGATGTTCTCACACACACTTCACAGACATACCACATCTCAATGGCTCACACTCTCCTGTGAGGCAATGATGAAAACACTGTGCTCTCGAAGGAAGGCCTTTCCCTTTACAAGTGAATGCATTCAGGCAATTCTTTACAAAAATAAAAAGATTCAAAAGAAATGTTTGCTCCAAGGCACCAAGAGTATAAAGCTTTTTAGGAAATACCCAAAAATGAACTGACTAAAAAAAGGAATTAGTTCTCAATGAAAGAATCTGTTATTACTGTAATTAGTGTAAATAATTACTTCAGATAGATTATAATCAAAATGCATACTGAAGAGACTGTGCGGTGTGAGGGAATGTCTGACCAACGCACGTTCCCGTGGGCACTTGGGGAGCTGGCTGGTACAGGCTTATAGGGGTTCTTCCTGGAGCCAGAGGACCTGCGCATCATTTGTGTTTGTAAAATCCTTCTCCGGTCTTCTTGCCCCACTTCTTCTCTGCTACCAGTTTAGTCAAGATGGGACTGGGCTGAAACAAGGGGTTCTGTGCATCCATCTCATGCCATCCTATTAGAGGAAAGAAAAGATTTAAGATGAAATCCTGTGTTTACTTTTATGCCTAAGCATTCCCAGGGCAAGTATGATAGGGCTTGGAGAAATGGCTCCTATTTGGATGTGCCCAGTCAGGCCAGCACAGCACAGGCACAAGGAAGGCTCAAGATGGCCCAGCCACATCAGCCCGAGAGTGGGTGCTGCCATGTGATGTGATGGCTCAAGGCCTGGCTCTAGATATGGGGCCTCCTGCTTATCCAGGCCCTTCCTGGAAATCACTAACATCAGAGTTCAGTTTGCAAAATGTCCAAGAATATAAGCAGAACCCATTAATCTCTTGGTTTGCCACCTCTGTGACAACTTTCAGAATCCATTATTTAAAATCTGTATTTGCTGCTATTGGTATTTTGTATCCTCATAAAATTAAAAACATCATGCTTCTCAGTCCTCTCAAATATGCAAGCCTTCTCTGTGAAACTTAGCAGTAATGAGCTACATTTGACGTCAGTAGTTTTAAATAATGAGCTACACTTGCCTTCACCCCAGTTTTAATAATTACTTTTACCCTGTCTTTATAGTCACTACTTTAAATGGGTTCATTTTAAAAAACAGTTGTGTACTTGATTGCAATGGAAGTTACACCAATCAATATATATAATAAACGACACACCGTACCAATGTCAATTTCCTGGTTTTGCTATTATGCTATAGTTGTATAAGCTGTAACTCTGGGAGAAACTGGGTGAAGGGTACCCAGGACCTGTCTATACAATGTCTGCATCTTCCCATGAAAATCTATGTAAAAATAAGAAATACTAAAAAGGTTACTCTGTTAAAAGGCACAACACAATCACATATTACCTTCTCCTTGCATCTATTACCTTGAAATTTAAGCTGGTAAGACAGGGAGGTAGACTTTAGAAGTCTGCTTAGACTCATTATGATCTGTTTTAAATAGGCAGTATAGTCCATAGCTCTGGTGGTGTAGTGCCTAAGGCACTTGACTGCTAACCAGAAGGCTGGGAGTTCAAACCCACCAGCCGCTCCTCGGAAGGAAGGTTGGGCAATCCACTTCTGTAGTGACACCACCTTGGAAACCCAAGGAGGGGTTGCTATGAGTCAGATCTGACTCAACTGCAGTGAGTTTGGTTGCTTCTTCTTTTTTTTTTGGTATAGTCCATAGCTCACAGATACTATACTTCACCTCAATAAAAGACAGAAAATAGAGAATTCCAATTCCTACCATCCATGATGAACTTCGTAGTATCCAGCCCAACATAGTCAAGAAGCTCAAATGGGCCCATGGGGTACCCAGCTCCCAACTTCATAGCTGTGTCAATGTCTTCCTTGGATGCATCACCTGGGAGAGAAGGGCAGCAGTGAGTCACCACCGTCGTTCCCACAGTTCTCCCCATCACAGGGTTCATCCCAGAATTACTGGAGTTCCATAGGTCTGCACATTCAAAAAATAATTTCGGGCTAGTTGGGAGCCACATGCTGAGGTGAGTAAGGGGAGGGACAGTATGGAAAGAGTCTGTGACCACCGTGATAACACTGGGGAAAGGGAAGACACTGAATTGTGCACATAAGATAGATATAGACAACAGGCTAATACTAGTATATCCACAATACAGCATTACCATTAACACCAAACACCAGGCTACAGATAAACACATAAACATCTGAGAAAATCAGATAGGGGTTAGTGAACAAGATTATACTCTACACCAAGGATAGATTCAGCTGAGGCTAATCTTGCACAGATACCAGTGATACAAAATACCTGCAGTCCTTACAGAAACAATAGAAAACAGACATAGGGCGACCCCTCACAGCCAGCCAGACACTGTGGGAGAGAGATCCAATGGATCTACTGACTAAGGACCATAGTATTGGGGGACATCAAACTCAAAAAACAAAACAACAACAAAAAAAAAACAACCCACCTCATAAGAGTCAGGATTACTGGCTTGGGTAGTATTTTCTCTCAGAAGTATAAATCAAGTAAGTCACAAAATTCTCAAAGCTATTCTTCTGTGTGAGGTGAATTCTAGAGCATTGCCACCTTGTTCATCTAGTGAGAAGGCCACAGTGGCCTGGAAACATTACTTTCTAATTGGTGGAGATTTTCCAGTTCATAAGAGCGGCCAGAAGAGCCCACGAAGAGCTGGGAGCAATTGCTCCCTTCTATTCAAGTACCCAGGAGCTCTGGTGGCGTAGTGCCTAAGGCATTAGACTGCTAACCAGAAGGCTGGCGGTTCAAACCCACCAGCATCTCCTCGGAAGGAAAGTTGGGCTTCATTAGACCTTGAGGCATCTATGGTGTTATAGCTGGAACACTGGAGTTACAGCCAAAAACATTCCTTTCTCATGGCTTAGCACCTGCTGGTCCCTGTGCTTAGAAGACTTGGCCTTCAGATATCTGCATGGTCCAAACTCTGCTTTCCCTCAGTTTTCTGCTCAAGTGCTGCCTAATCAGAGAGGTGACACTTCTCTATATATAAAACATATAAACCAGTAATTGGTGGAACTCCAGGTTAGCAGTCCCACTGATTTATTTTTCTCAACTATCACTGATCGTCTACCACTTGTCTGTCAGTTTGTCATACTGTGGTGGCTTGCATGTTGCTGTGAGGCTGGAAGCTATGCTGACAGTATTTCATATGCTAGCAGGTTCATCCATGGTAGACAGGATTCAGTGGAGCTTCCAGACTAAAACAGACTGGGAAGAAAAGATGGAGCTGTCTACTTTTGAAAAAACTCTCTACTGAAAACCTTATGAATAGCAGTGAAACACTGTCTAATTTATTACCAGAAAACTTTATGAATAGCAGTGAAACATTACTTATAGTGCTGTAAGAAAAGCCTCTCAGGTAGAAAGGCACTAAAAACACAACTGGAGAACAGACACTTCCTCTGAGCAGAGTCGACCTTAATGACGTGGATGGAGTAAAGCTTTCAGGAACTTCATTTGCTGATGGGGCACAACTTAAATGGGAAGAAATGCTACACACATTCATTAATAATTGGAATGTGGAATGTACAGAGTATGAATCTAGGAAAACTGGAAGTTGTTAAAAAATGAAATTGAATACACAAAGATTGATATCCTAGGCATCAGTGAGCTGAAATGCCTGGTATCAGCCATTCTGAATCAGACAATCATATGGTCTACCATGCTGGGAATGACAAATAGAAAAGGAATGAATGGTATTACATACATCAGCAAACAGAACACCCCGAGATCTATCCTGAAGCATAATGCTGTCAGTGATGGAGTAATATCCATAAGCCTACAAGAAGACCAGTTGATAATACTAATTCAACTTTATGCACCAACCACTAAAGCCAAAAGTGAAGTAACTGAAGATTTTAACTAACTTCTGTGGTCTAAAATCGACCAAATAAGCAATCAAGATGTCTTAATAATTACGGGTAATTGGAATGCAAAAGTTGGAAACAAAGAAGAATCATCAGTAGTTGGAAAATATGGCCTTGGGGATAGCAATGACGCCAGACAATGCATGGTAGAATTTTTAAGACCAATGACCAAAGACCAATCACTAAAAAAACCTTTTTTCAACAAAATAAATAGTGACCATACGTAGACCTCACTAGATGGAATACACAGGAATCAAATTGAATTCATCTGTGGAAAGAAGTGATGGAGACACATAATTATCAGTCAAAACAAGCCTAGGAGCTGACTGTCCAACAGACCATCAATTACTCATATGCAAGTTCCAGTTGAACCTGAAGAAAATTAAAACAAGTCCACAAGAGCCAAAATACGACCTTGGTAATATCCCCCCTGAATTTAGAGACCATCTTTAGAATAGATTTGATACATTGAACACCAATGACCAAAGACCAGATGAGTTGTGGTATAACATCAACATATATCATACATGAACAAAGCAAAAGGTCATTAAAAAGACAGGAAAGGAAGAAAAGACCAAATTGGATATCAAAAGAGACTCTGAAACTTGCTCTTGAATGGACAGTGTTGCTGTTGTTATCAGGGCTGTAGAGTTGGCTCTGAATGAAACACTGCCCAGTCTTGTACCAGCCTTACAACTCTTGCTATACCTGAGCCCATTGTTGCAGCCACTGTGCCAATCCACCTCATTGAGGGCTTTCTCCTTTTTGATGACCCTCCACTTTACGAAGCATAATATCCTTGTCCAGGGAATGATCCCTTCTGACAACATGACCAAAGTAGGTGAGATGAAGTCTGGCCATGTTCACTACCAAGGAGCATTCTGGCTGTACTTCTTCCAGGACAGATTTGTTCTTCTAGCAGTCCATGGTACTTCCAGTATTCTTTGCCAACACAACTCAAAAGCATCAATTCTTCTTCAGTCTTCCTTATTCACTGTCCACCTTTCACATGAATATGAGGCGATTAAAATTACCATGGCTTGGATTAGGTACACCTTAGTCTTCAAAGAGACATATTTGCTCTTCAGTACTTTAAAGAAGTCTTTCGCAGCAGATTTTCCCAGTGCAATATATCATCTGATTTGACGAAATAAAAGAGGTGAACAGAAGATTTCAAAGGTGGCTGGAGAAGACAAAGTATTATACTGAAATGCAAAGACCTGGAATCAGAAAACCTTCCCAAAAAGGAAGAACATACCTGGCATTTCTCAACCTGAAAGAACTGAAGAAAAAATTCAAGCCTCAAATTGCAATACTTAAGGATTTTATGGGCAAAATATTGAACGATACAGAAAGCATCAAAAGAAGATGGAAAGAATACAGAGTCACCGTACCAAAAAGAAATGGTTCAACAATTTCAGGAGATAGCATCTGATCAAGAACTGGTGGAATGCAAGGAAGAAGTTGAAGCTGCATTGAAGGAACTGGTGAAAAACAAGGCTCCAGGGATTGATGGAATTCCCACTGAGACATTTCAACAAATGGATGCAGCACTTGAGCCGCTTACTTGTCTATGCCAAGAAATTTAGAAGACAGCTGCCTGGCCAACTGATTGGAAAAGATCTGTATTTGTGCCCATTCCAAAAAAAAGGTGACCCAACATAGTGTGGAAATTATTGAACAATATCATAAATATCACATGCAAGTAAAATTTTGCTGAAGATAATTCAAAAATGGTTGCAGCAGCACACTGGCAGGGAACTTCCAGAAATTCAAGCTGGATTCATAAGAGGACATGGAATAGGGGATATCATTGCCCATGGAAGATGGATCTTAGCTGAAAGAATACCAACCAGAAAGATGTTTATCTGTATTTTATTAACTATGCTAAGGCATTCAACCATGTGGATCATGACAAATTATGGATAACACTGTGAAGAATGGGAATTCCATAACACTTAACTGACTTCATGAGGAACCTGTACATAGACCAACAGGCAGTTTTTAAAACAGAACAAAGGGATATTGCATGGTTTAAAATCAAGAAGGGTGTGTGTCATGTTATATCCTTTCACCATATTTATCAATCTGTATGCTGAGGAAATAATCCAAGAAACTGGACTATATGACTATATGAAGAACAAAAAATCAGGATCGGAGGAAGACTTATTAACGACCTGCAGATGACAGCAACTTGCTTGCTGAAAGTGAAGATGACCTGAAGTACTTATCAATGAAGATTAGTAAGACTACAGTCTTCAGTTGGGTCCGACTTGATGGTACATAACAACAACAACAACAACACAGTCTTCAGTATGGATTACACATCAACATAAAGAAACAAAAATCCTCACAATTAGACCAGAAAGCAACATCATGAAAAATGGAGAAAAGATTGAAGTTGTCAGGGATTTCATTTTACTGGGATAAACACTGATGCAAGCAACAGTCAAGAAATCAGATGTCATATTGCACTGGGAAAATCTGCTGCAAAAGACCTCTTTAAACCATTAAGGAGTAAAGATGTGACTTGGTGTGCCTGACCCAAGCCATGGCATTTTCAGAAGGCTGGCAGTTCAAACCCACCAGCCACTCTTTTTTTTTTTTTTTAATTAGGATTTGGGTGAAGATTTACAGAGTAAATTCACTTTTCATACAGCAGTTCACATATACTTTGTCTCATGTCATTGAGCAAAATTTACAATGCAGCAGCTCCCCTCCCACTTCCTCCCCATAGTTACCTCCTCCCACCAGCCACTCTTCAGAAGGAAGGTTGGGCAATCTACTTCAGTAGTGATACTGCCTCGGAAACCCAAGGAGGTGTCGCTATGAGTCGGGTCCGACTCGACGGCACATAACAACAACAACATGCACGTGGAAGCTGGACAATGAATAAGGAAGACCAAAGAAATGATGTCTTGAATTGTGGTTCTGGTGAAGAATACTAAAAATAACATGGAGTGACAGAAGAATGAACAAATCTGTCCTGGAAGAACTGTAGCCAGAATGCTCCTTAGGAGTGAGAATGGCCAGACCTCCTCTCACCTACTTTGGTCATGTTGTCAGAAGGGACCAGTCCCCTGGAGAAAGAGATTATGCTTGGTAAAGTGAAGGTCAGCAAACATAGGGGAAGACCCTCAACCAGATGAATTGATACAGTGGCTTCAATGATGGGCTCTAGCATAACAAGGATCGTGAGGATGGTGCCGGACCAAGCAGTGTTTTATTCCATTGTACATAGGGTTGCTATAAGTCTGAGCCGACTCAATGGCACCTAACAACAACAACAACAATCACTAACCACAACCTAACATATTATCTGTTGGTTCATTTATTATGGTCTGTCTCCCCTCATTAGAATGTAAGCTCCTTGCAGACAGAAATCTGATTGCATAATGGTTCCAATTTAACTAAAGTTATTTCAACTAATCTATATTCAAGAAGAGGACAATGAACCCTAGAGCTAGAAGCAAGGCAATAATTCCAAGTTCAGAGACACACTGGAGGACTATTTTATTCCAAAAAAATAACAAGATACAGCATATCATGTAAGAGATCTAAAGAGTTTTACAGTCAGTGTACATGTAAAATTCAGTTCTGAGTTGTAGAGAATAAAATACTTGCAAAAACAACAAAAGAAAACTCAAGACAAATAAAATGCACACGTGCAGATTGGTGTGCCAAGTATGGGTTAAATGCTGCGTCATGTTTTACATGAATAATTCCTAAGCTTTTTTAGAGTTAAGTACTTTTCTGAGAATCTGACATTCTCTCCTTAAGTACACATGTACACATAATTCTACACTCCCCTTAAGAGGTTCATGGAATTCTCTCTCCTCGAGTTTAAGGACCTCTAACTTTGGACAAGACAACAAAGAAAAGCTTCATCAGTGAACTTTCAAGTCTAAGCTGTGGACCAGAGGAAGGCCCTGCCCTAGCATCTTTTTCTCAGTGGCTCATCAGCGCCACCTACCAACCATTCCTGGCAATAACAACAAATTGGGCTCATACCAATAGGTATCAAACAGTGTACAGCAATAGTTACATAAAATGCCTGTCAGAGACAAACACTTTAGACTACAAAGATGAGTAGGATCCGGACACTGCCCCAGAAACAGTATAAGAGGAGAAAACAGACACATGCCCCAGGGAAGAGTGGCAAGTGCCCCAATGGGAATTGAAAGCATAAAGAGAGTTAGGATGTCAAGACTACATCCAGCTTGGAGCAGTGAGGAAATGCAGGTGGGGTCCTGTGAGAAAGTGAAACTAAGGCATGTGTTGATGGCAGCAGGGGCAGAGGGTGAGGAGAAAGATGGCTCTCTGGCAAGGTTGTCATATTTGTTAGGTCACTAAAGAGCCATTGAAAACATCTTGAGCAGAGAATGGCAGTGAGAAGGATGTCACAGTGACTGGGAGATGGGTTCATTACATTACCAGGACCTACCACCAGCACAGGCCTCCTGAGAAGCACTAACCATGTGGCCCCCTAACCTGCCAGACCCAACCAACTACAGTGGGTATCTGACAGGGGTGGAAGTCCACTGTTGGGCACCAACCTACTCAAAGGTTGGGAGAAAGAACTCTGATGCACAGGAACAAAAGTGACTAACTGAACCAATCCGGCCCTCGATTGTAGCAAACTGTGCCGAATGGTAAGAGTAAGGACAGAAGCTGAAGGATACTGAGAAAGAAGGCATAACACAGCAGAAGCCATGAGGTATGGAGCAGGTAGGGGGCAGTGGTAAGGGACAGCCAATGAGCTACCACTAGGTACCACGAGAAGTTGGTGAGAAGCACTGGTAAGAGAGCGTCCAGAAGATCTAGCTGGTCCCATGGCCGAAATGATCCTCTCACTCTACAATGCCACACATCCTTATGACAAGCCTCTATCACACAAATCAGCATTTAACAATATGGTGGATGTAACACTTCAACTCTAGAACATCAATAACACTGTACAGAAAGTAGTCCTAAAATGAGTTTGGCAAAGGCTGGGCTAACTGAATACCAACCAGAAAGTGCCTATACTGGAGAGGTTTGTTAACATACCACTGGGTCCTGAGTCACCCTCAGCTGTGGATGGGGGAAGTACACTGTGTTCTATGTTTCTGTAACAGCTTGACACTTTTTCTGCAAGCATGGCAGAGGGGATCAGTTTGGAAAGACATATTAGTGAGTTCCTCTGCTGCCTGAAAGGCTATGCAGCCAGACTGGCACAGGGAAAGATGGATGAAATGATGGAACGGGCACAAGGATCAGTCAAAAATGACCAGTGGACAGATAGGGCAAACAAGAGGGAGAACCCAAGATAAATTCAGGTTTCAAAGTGCACTGATGTTTAGAGCAGGTGAGCGGCAGGTACATGGAGACTGGACGGCAGGCACGCCACGCAACACCACGCTGGCTGAAAGGGGGAGCAGCAGCAAGGTGGCAGAAGGACCTGGTACGAAGCCTGAGGCACAACCTAAGAAGTCGCGACCTTACTGTGGATGGCTAAAAAGCAGCACTCAACCCTGCCCCTTCCCTAGCAGATGCTCTGGTTCACAAGCCCCAAGAGGGCCACTGGAGAAAGAGGTAAAGGAACTAGTAAGGAGGGCTCTGTTGTTGGTAGTGCCAAGAGCTAATCTGGAGCACTTCCCAAACACTGCTCTTCCAGCCTCACCACACAGTGGTTAGTGATGGATGGTGATGGTCAAAGGGAAATGTGCCTGTTAAGAAAGGGACCACTGCCTGTGCGAGAGGAGCAGAGGATAAGAAAATGTTTTCAACTTACAATTCGATCCGTAGCACATTTGAAAATGTATCAAAGTGGCAGTATGTTTCAGTGAGAGAAACACCATTAAGATGAGGATCACCCATATGCTATGTTCTAAAATACAGCAGTTTATTTTTTAAAATGCCTTTCAAGGTAGGGCAAAATGCTTCACGCTTTCTTTGAGGTGTTATTAGGCATATTTGTTGATAGATAAGCACAGAAGTAATGGTTTGATCTTGGTGCAAAAGTGAGGCAACTGCTTCCATAAACCAATAAGCTAAGTTTTAATATTTAAAACAGATTCTGAGGAAGCAAATGTGCTTTCATCTCTCTGGAAGAGCTGGTGTAAATGTTTTGTTTCAAAAATGACATTCTCAGGAGTAAGCATTTGTGAATGAAGTAACTGAAAACAATTACACTTGCTTTTTAGCCAGTTTCAGTAAGGCCTGTTTTACCTTCAAAGCAGACAAAATAGTAAGTTTTGGAGTAACAGGGAAAAGGTAGGCAGAAGGACACATGTCATTTTATAGCCATAGAACACAGCTGAAGCTTTGTATTTCTAGAACAGGGAAGACTCTTCTTTGTCAATCAACAATTTTTGAGGAAAATATTTTAGATCACGCTTATGGTTTAAAAAAAAAAAAAAAATGCACTTTAGTATCATTCAGTAAGGGCACCCATCATACAGTCACACAATTTTAGGACCTTAAGGAATTTTAGAGATCACCTAGCTCAGTGATTTATAAATTATTATTTCTTTTAAAGCAATAAGCCTTTTAACTGAAAGTAGAGATCTGGGATATAAATCCAGGTTGGCCATGGAATTGCTCTGGCTGGAACTTAGTGGAATCCCAAAGCTGCACCTCAGAGGTCTCACAGAGAACCCAGGGGACCCCAGGAACAGTGATAGGGGGGTATCAGGGCCCAGGGAGGTGAGGCCTGAGCTCACACAGCTACACACGCAAGCACCTTCATCTACTCCACCCACCCTACCCTTCCTAAATACACTGTGTAGTAAATCCTGGAGACCGGCTACTCCGGGCTGGGTCAGGACAGCTACCTCGTTCATACAGCCTGACTGCTTCCAGGAGGTATGGCACCAGCAGACGGTTGACAATAAACCCAGGAGTGTCCTGTTTTAAGAGAGAAACACAAAGGACAAGTAAATTTTTAGAAAACTTCATTAGTGAAGTTATTAGATTGCCCCTTTTTATCCTGAATTATTTTGCCCACATTTATCAAGCTATCCATATTCAAAATCTGTTTTAAAATACCAACACAGCCTTATTTCTATCTCACATCACAATTTATCCAATAACCATAGTACTTAATTTAAAAAAAAGAAAGAAAGAAATCAACCCCAGATGCCTCTACTATGCAGATCCTGAAATAAAGACAGATCAAGGCAGATCCAAGCACAAATTCTGATACTCTGATCTTGCATCATTCTGATATTGAGATCTCCTCATCTATGAAATGGGGAATATTAATGTCTACTTCATAAGCTATTATGATGATTAAATCTTAGGACACGTAAATAACATGTACACATACACTACAGTCAAGCAGTAACCCCTTTACTCCTCTCCTCTCACATTCCTTTTAGACATCTAGAAAAAGTAACACTCTATCTTGAGCAAATCTCAAAGAACTACTTTCGAGGCTCCCTGGAACCCTTTGGTTGCTCGGTATTTTCTCATGCTCCATTGTGCAGTCCAATACCATCAAGTTGGGGGCCAAGACACATGAGCAGGTCCCCGATAAATGCTGGCCTTTCCCAGCATACTACCTGAGACTCACTGTCTTCTTGAGCTGTCCAGAGCTGTCATCTTGTCTGTCACACCACTCTCACTGATCTTTCCTCCTAATTAAGATGCTTAATTGCCTCTCCTGAAGACTAGTGTGTGTTTTGAATTTTACCTACTGATCTCTTGAATGCCTGTGAGGAAGGCTGTGGTAGGTAATTTTTTGGTGGTATTTAGTGAAGCTGACTTCCACTAAGTAAATAGTGCCCCCTTCTCTGTCAAAGGATCGTGGTGTTCCTGAGGAAAAAATCCTCACCCTGGCCCTGGGTGTGTGTTTCTAGCACATAGTAGGCGTTCAATAAACTTGTCACTGAAGATCCTCAGGCTCATGCGTCACTCTTAGGGATAATCTGACTGCACACTACATGAACTGGATGGTAAAAGCGACACGGTCTGTGCCTCCTATAACTGTAGACAAGCTACAGACAATTCCAACCCCTATCTCCACAAGAGTACAGAGACGCACAAGAGAGCTTTATCAGTTTCATCAAGACTGTATTAATAAAACCATGCTTATGCTTAAAACCGAGGCAAAAATAAGCTTTTTAACTTCAAAAAGTTTATTGTAGAAACTCAGGATAGAATGCTTAACATGAAGCACACCATATATAAGATGAAAAATCAGAAACAGCTTCAGAAAAATATCTACTTTGATTTTAATAGTTAATATCTTCTATTATCAAGAGCTCATAAAACTCAGTAAAGTTCTAAAACTCACAATATATGTAAACTCATTAGGAATCAGAGTACTATTCATTAGCATAAAATAGCATTTTTGCCAATAACAGCATCAGGGTTTTTTCCCCCCATTATTGTAATATCCAAAACTGTGGATGGAGAATGAAGGTATTCTCATATAAGTGGGACTAAAAGAGACATAATCCTTTATAAGGCAATTTAACTTACATAGTTAAAAGCCTTATATTTTTCACAGTCTTTTATGTATTTATTACTTTTTATTTATTATACTTACTATGTGCCAGGCACTGTTCTAAATACTTTACAAAATTACCTACTCCTCCTAATAACCATGTGAGACATGTATTACTGTCCCTAGATGAGGCGTGAGGACACTGAGGCACAGAGTAATCTGCCCAAGGTTGTTGTTGATATGTGCCGTCGAGTCAGACCCGACTCACAGCGACCCCTCCTTGGGTTTCCGAGGCAGTATCACTACGGAAGTAGATTGCCCCATCTTCCTTCCGAGGAGTGGCTGGTGGATTTGAACCAGCAGCCTTCTGGTTAGCAGTCAAGTGCCTTAGGCACTATGGTTACACAGCTATAAAGAACCTGTCAGGCTGATTCCAGAGTGCACACCCATAACCTTTACGCCCCACTCTCCCTGTGCAGCCTCACAATGAAGAACGACATATTCAGGGTACATTAATGTCATTCTTCTTTGTCAGGTGTTGTTAAACTATGATCCCTCAGGCCTATTCTAGCCTACAGCCTGTTTTTTATAAATAAAGTTTTACTGGAGCACATCTACACTCATCCCTTTATATATTATTTACAGATTCTTTTGCACTAAGACAGCAGAACTGAGTAGCTGCAATATGCAAAGCCTGAAATATTTACTGTACTATCTGGCCATTTACAGCAAAAGAAATTTGCTGATCTTTGCTCTATGTAGTTGCGATACTTTTTTTCTGAATGATCAAGAGCCTAAATAACTGAACCAGAAAGACTCCTGGTGAGCCCTCAGGTATCACACAGAGAAAGTTCTGGAATTATATACAAGGGCAATTTGATGAGACTAATGAGATTCCATGCCCACAGCTGCCATGGCCACTATGATGGAAGAATGGATCACCATGCTCCATTTTTGTCACTGCTGAAGATAATAATTGGCTTTTTCTTTCACTTCCATTTTCATACCTGGCTTCTTCTTTGGTACACACTGCTGTTCTATCTAACACTATTACTACTTTCTTCCACTAACAAAGCACAATGGGGTAAAAAAGTACCATCACAGCATCCAGTTATTAATGTTATATGTTGTTGTTGTTGTTAAGTACCGTCGAGTCGTTTCCGACTCATAGCGACCTCATGCACAGCAGAATGAAACACTGCCCGATCTCGCGCCAGCCCCACAATCCCTGCTATACTTGAGCCCATCATCACAGCCACCGTGTCAATCCTCTCATTGAAGGCCTCTCCCTCTTTATATATATATAAACTTTTTATTGGGATTTGGGTGAAAGTTTACAGAACAAATTCATTTTCCATTCAATCGTTCATACACATTGTGTTCCGTAACATTAATTGAAATCCCCACAAATGGAACTAACAGCTCTCTTTCTACTTCCTCCCTGTGGTTACCTTTTCCCTGTCATTCTTTCCTATGCATTCCTGCCTTGTGAGCTTATTCCCTACTCAAATGCTGCCCTTCTGATATCCTATGGTTGACTGTTCCAAGGAGTGCACCCCCCCAATGGAACTTTTTGCCTTGTAGGCCTATTGATTATCTGGCTGAAAGTGAACCCATGGGATTAAGTTCAGTTCCAGGACCAAAGGGTGATTAGGGGCCGTGGACTGTACCAGACCAGCAAGCATGGTCTTTTTTATGCTTTTGAGTTTTGTTCCACAGTTTTCTCCTACTCTATCCAGGATCTCCAATTGTGATCCCTTTATGAGTGGTTGGCAGTGGTAGCCAGCTATCATCTAGTTCTGGTCTCAGGGTCATGTAGGCTGAGGTTTCCATGGTCCACTAGTTCCTTGGACTAATTGTAACCTTAAAACCAGATTTAAAATAATAATAACAACAACAAAAAAACCCAACAGGTGGTAAAAAATGAGACCCCTAATAGTAACAAACTCTTCAGCTGAGGGAACATGCTCTCTTTGGATACGGGGGTCCACATGAACAAATGACTTATTCAGATGATTTCTGAGCATAAGATTTTACATGGGTTAATACAATGCTGGGAGTTAAAACTTGAGAATATTTTGAAAAAGCAAAAAGATGCTATGAGAACCACAATGACATAAAAGATCATGGTCAATATTATACTTGAGGCAATTATTGAATGGGGTGTATGTTTTGCTATGTATCTATTTTCACCAAAAGGGAAAAAAAAAAAAAAAGACTATGGTCAAAAGGTAGAGGGCTTATTTATAAAATTTAGTCATAGTGTGGCATTTCTTGACACAACTGCCCCTTTTGAAAAACTGTAAAATCATGCAGAAGCATGTTTGTTGTGTCCTCAAGTTTTTGGCAAAGGAACTAAAGCCAATGGAGAATCAAAATGAAGTAGGTAATCATTTCAGACAATTGGGATGATTTTACACGTAATAAGTGGACATTTTAAGAAATGAAAAAAACCAAAACGCTGGAGGTCCAGCATGCCTTCCCACTTGACCATGCTTCTTATAGGTGGAAAAATACCCACAACACAACATTACACTGCAAAGAAGCTTCATTAATGCCATCTTGGCCGGGGGGGCCTTTTCTCCTCTCCCATCATTTCTCTAACATCTGTTATGTGCTTTCCCAAAGCAGAGCCCTAATTCTCCATTAGGGGTGCACATATCCTCCAGGGGAGTGTGCCACACAGGGCTCTGCTCCCAGTGACCCAAAAGAAGCCAATGCTAACAAGGGTAACAAAAATAGTTTATGGAAGTGTAGCTGTTCATTAACAGACAAAAATCAGGACCCATAAATATGTCCCACGTCTTCTGTTCCACTGAAGATCTGGGTACCATTCAGGTCTCAATACCCACCTCATGGCTTTGGGTGTGGCTTAGGAGCCAGGTTTCTCTGCCAGCAAAAAGGAGGGCAGTGTGCATGTACAGCCTGCTCTTCACAGGACACAGACAGGCTGCCTGGGAAAAGTACTCCGTTGTTCACATAATTCTACCAGAAATGAGTCAGGTTTCAAGGAAAACCACCCTCTTCCTAAGCTAGCCACACTCTACCTTGCAAGAAACAGGATGCTTTCCCATGGATTTGCTAAAGTCTATCAGAGATTCAAATGTCTTCTGGCTGGTCATGGGTGTTTTAATGACCTGGAAATGAAAAGCAGAGAAGAATTATGATTTGAGAATCAGTAAACACCCTCAATAGAACTTTTTGAGAAAATATCAATCAAAACGGCCCACATAGACAACAAAAATAATTTTAGTTTCAGAAGAGAAGTAGGAATCTCAAACTAGAAACAAAATGTTTACCAAAATGTCCATTTTAAGACAATGAAGCACTAAAGAACACACAAAATCAAAGCTGAGTGTGTGTGTGTGTGTGTGTGTGTGTGTATGGTAGTTTTATATGCTTATAGTTGAGACAGACTTGGGTTCAAATCTCAATCCCACTTTTTACTGGCTATGTGACCTAGACATGTTTCTTGAAATCACTCTACCCACCTTGAGAAGTGTAAGTGAGGATAAAATCAGATTCGTAGGCAAAGCAGTAAGTGCAGCTCCTAAGAGGAATGAACCATAAAAACTAAACCCACTGCCACTCAGTCAATTCCGATGCATAGCGACCCTATAGGACAGAGTAAAACCTCTGGATAGGGTTTCTAAGCTCTGGTGGTGCAGTCCCTACGGCATTTGACTACTTTCTAATCAGAAGGTTGGTGGTTCAAACCAAACAGCTGCTCTGTGGAAGGAAGATGGGGGTTGCTATGAGTTAGAATAGACTCAGTGGCAGTTAGTTGTTTTTTTTTTTTTTTTTTCAAGTCTTTACAGGAGCAGAGTGTCACATCTTTTTCCCACAGGAGGAATGAATTGCTCAGGAGAGGAGGGAAAGTCCACTTGGGTGTGGTACTTGCCTTAGAGCATTCTGCAAGGGAGGAAGGAAAAAGGAAATGCCAGACTTCTGTTCCTACTCTTATCTCACAGAATGTCAGTGCTGGAAGATATTGTAGAATACCGAGCCTCACCCTCACCTATCACAGATGAGAATGAATCTCAGAAGCTGAGTGACTTGCCCGATTGACAGGTCTCCTGGACCCGTGGATGAGTGCTGCTCTATCCGTTAGTCCACCCTCTCCCACACAGATGTGTGAAAGCCCAGCAGCCATCCTTTGCTTCAGAACAGACTCTCCTCACAGAGCAAGGCTTTACATTTACAGCAAACGGGGCCTATGGATAGGTCTGTTATCTACCTGGAACCCCAGAAGGCTCCTAGCAGCCCTTCTGACCTTCTGCAAGGTGCAGTGCAAGGGCAGAGCAGCTAGCCCTGTTCCCAGCAGCCTAAGAATGTAATTTAAAGGTCAGTAAGGAACATCAACCAGAGTGAGAGCAATAGGCTTGGCTACCACATCAGAGCCTTTTGGTGATCATGTTGCTACTGTTAGGTACCGTAGAGTCGTTTCTGACTCAGAGATCCTATGAACAACAGAACAATGTGCCGCCCCATCCTGCGCCATCCTCACAATCATAGACAAGTCAAATCAACCCTCCAAGCCTGCCTTCTTGACTATGAAATGGGGATAATAATGCTTGACACATCCGCCCCCATAAGAGCATGTATGGCTTAATAAGCTAGTGTCTGTAAAGGGATGAAAGGTGCTATATATATGAACAGGATTACTATCATCTGTGTTCTAATGTGATCACACACTGGCCAGTGGTGGTATATAAGGACATTAAGGGAGGTAGATGAGAAGAACTGAAAAAGGTACCCTGAATATGGAGACGAGAAATGGGATGAGATGGACCACAAACTGCCCTGCAGGTGTCAAAAATCAAGCAGCAACCTTAGCCAGAAGATGTCTAAAAAGTCTCCATCAGAACTCAAGAATTTGAACTAGGACAAAAGCCTGCTACAAGAGTAAAGGCTGTGCTTTGTCTTGAAACGAGAGTGATATATGCTTGTTCATTCATTCAATCAATAGTAATGTGCTGCAGATAATTATTCTGCTTACAGTTCCAACCTGAGAATCTGAAAAGAAATATATATGAGTTCAGTCTTAAGTAAAAGAGAGGCACCACTCAGTTAATTATATAATTCATTCTGGTACTCACCACCAGCGCCACATACGTGAGAGCTAAAGTTAAAGAATAAAAATTGGATGAAGAATACCTTTACAAAACATTTCCCAGAAAATGGTAACATTTGCTAAATACTAACTGTTAACAACCAAAGTGCCAAAGACGTGATCGGTCGTATTGGATAAATGCTGTTGACAGCAACATTATTAGAGTCTCAAGTAAATCTACACAATTGTCTTTAACCTAAAAAATACATTTTGAAATAGTCTGCAAGAGGGAGAAAAGAAATATGAGAACTTTGATACTTTTTCCATAAATTTTCTGTAAACCTAAAACTTCTCTAAAAAATCAAGTCTATTAAAAAGAAACTCATATATGTACAGAGTATAACAACTAAAAAATTAATTTGTCCCTAGGTACTGAGATGTCAAATACGCCAGTCTACTACTTTGTTTTTTTATGTATAAGGTGTAAATGTTTCTTCCCGTGTCCCTCCCCTTCATTCTTCAACTTCTTCAAAATTAGCCTTAGGGAGCAGGAGTCAATTGGGAGAAGCTGAGGAGCAATGTTAGCAGAACAGGCATTTAAATTGAAAGATGGGTCAGACTGTCACTTGAGAGAAAACTATAAAAAAATGCAGTCATCGTTAAACTAGAAATTAATGCTTATGCTGTGGGTGGCAGAGAGGAGATAGAGGAGAGAAAAGGGGGCCGGAAGAGAAGAAAACAGGCCCCAATACCCACTCCCAGGGAGGCCACAGCCAGTCTCCAGAGGTGTGCTGGCTCACCTCACCCACACGAGCAGCGTCCCCCACACTTCGCACAGCAATAACTCCTCAACCTCAGAACAAATGCTCCTTTAATAGCGGCTGCTCTTCAGACCCTGTAATTAGACCCCTGTAAAAGGCAAGTTGCCACATTTCAGGGGCAAATTGTCTATTGTGACTCCATCTCCCTCATAACCCAGTCTCCAAGCAATCAAACAGAAGCAGCCCAAACATGAACACTGGGGGCAGCTCTCCAGGGCCACTACCCTCTGCTCAGTTTGTGGTCAGGAGGTTCAAGGTTCTTAGGAGCTGCCTGTAATAGCTCTCATCACAACACACAGGAGGGACGCCTCTTCTGGGGACAATACCAAGGCGCTGTGGCAGGAGGCCGAAATTCACCCCAGGATGCTCCTGCATAAAACTAGGTCTGTCAAATAGAAACTCCATTACAGCTGGAGCCAACTGACCCTCAATGAGAATACAAAGCTCCAGGGTTCTCTCATCTGTGGCCTCCACAAGCAAATCGTGGCAGCTTTCATGCTGCCTTCCCTGTCTGATGCCTCTCTCAGCATTGCCCATCAGCTCTGGCACAAACAAGTAAGTAACATTCCACAAAGTTAATAGTCCTCAGGGCTGCAGAAGACAAGATGTACACGATCTTCCTATGTATCAGGTATGCTTTCTTCCTTTTGCTCTGAAAGGACAGACTATAGCAAAAGAAACACATGCACAAGGGCAACCTTCTACCCACTCGTTAAAATGCAGTCCCCTGGTGGCAGGGCCAGTGCAACTCAGAAAAGCAGGACTGAGACAGCCAGCAGAGCAAGCAGACACTCATAAGCAGATACCCACTGACCTCCACAAGTTTCATTAGGGGCACTGGGTTGAAGAAGTGGAGCCCGGCGAATCGGTCTTGTCTGGTGGTGGCATTGGCTATGCTTGTGATTTGCAAAGAGGAAGTGTTGCTGGCAAAGATTGTGTGTCTGTGGAGAGAAAAACGATGGGGTATTGGAATGAGTCCCATCTTTGGAAACAGCTAAGACTAGTCCTGGGTGCAATGTACGACATGCCTGCTCACTGCCCAGATCTGCTGTCCTGACCCTGTAGAAGCGGGAAGACAGACACATCTTTACACAAAAGGATGAAATCAAGTAACCTCAGTTTAATTTAAATTTTGAAATTTTAAATTAAGTAATTGAAAAGTTACCTGTTTCCAGGGTATACTTAACCTTTGCCAATAGCTCCCTAATTTTAGAGTATAAAACTTTTCTTATCTGCTTATATTAGTTAATTATCACGGTATGTAAGAAAACCAGAAAACCCAAACTCACTGTCATCAAGTCGATTGTGACTCACAGCGAACCCCTTTGGGTTTCCGAGGTGGCAAATCTTTATGGAAGTAGATTGCCCAGTCTTCCTTCCAGAATGGCTGGTGGGTTTGAACCACCAACCTTCTGGTTAGCAGTCAAATGGCTTAGGTACTACACCACCATAGTTCCTTGGTATGTAAGGAGGCAGCTAATTTATCAAGGTTTTAACCAACCTCAGTCACAAAATGAAAACTAAGTCATGAAAGACTAATGAAGGAAAGAAGGATGCATCACAGATGCTCAAAATAAATAGAAACTGTACATAAGCACCTGGATCCTCAATGAGAAACATGATAGTAAACATGAACTAAAATCTCTTACTCCCAACTGAAAAGCTCTACTTTTCCAATGAACAAGTCAAAATGAAAACAAGAAGAACAACACTATTCAAAGAGAAATTTTGGTGTTACACAACTAGTTTAGGGGAAGAAAGGATATAAGTTCAAGGTCTTCTGCTTCTAAAATCTCCTTAAAAAAAAAGAGTGCCATTTATTTTTTGTGTATATAAAATACTGCATTATTAATTTTAAAATATCTGTACTGACTCAAACCAAATTTAACTTTTAAGACAACAGTAAAGTGAGTTTATGCTAAAGGCCTAATAGGTAATGACTTCTAGCCTTTCCTATAGCGCCACCTTGTGGATAAAAATTCACAAAACTACCTACTACTAACTAGTCAGTCATATTGGCTGGTCACAGTATAGGAAGGACTGATCAGATCCTGGGATTTCTGCTTATCATAAAAGCAATACCATAATCTGCCTGGAACCAGGGTAGGTAAGAGTGATAGAGACAAGGAGAAGAAACAAGTAGTTTGAAAAAAGGAGAGGAGAGGGAGGTGAAATGAGAGGCCTGTGCAGTAAATAGGGGCAGCTGCCATAAGACTGAGTGAGGGATTTGCTTAAGTGAAGATCCTTCTGCGTGATTACTTTTGAAGGACACCTACCTTTCCCAAACAACTTCCAGTTAGCCTACTTAAAGGCCACACAGGAATGTCTTTCCATTTTTAAAAAATGAAGCATTTTTAAGACTTTAGTTTTCAAACTTTCTTGCTTTTTGGTCAGTGGGGTAAATAATATAAACTGCCCCCTTTACAGAAATGAATAACAAAAGATCATCTGTCAAGTAACACTGTTTACAGCCAACATAAGCACTCCTTTTAGTCCCACACCCTGAATGAGTCTCAGCAGGGACAGATAGCCTTGGCCCACCAGTGTGCTAACAGCTGCTCCACACCTCCATTAATAAACAGTTTTTTTTTTTTTCAAAGATCAGTATTATATAATAATGCAGTACCTTTTCATATGACATCTAAAGGGCAACTTGCCTGTGAAAAAGAGGAAGTTAGAGTACTGGCTGGAAAGCACATTCTGTAAAATGATGAACAGGAACATCAGAGCCTAGTCCCAGAGGCCGCCAGTCCAGGGCACTCCCTGAATACATTTGCTCAAAAGGGGAAAAGCTGTCTCTCCCGCGTAGATCTCTCCTGATTAGAGCTTTTTCTTAGCCTTTTATGTTTGCTTCCTGAAAAGCCACTTACAAACCTGTACACCATTGTTCCTTGCCACTTTTCACAATAACCAAACGGTGGAAACAACAGAAATGTCAGGAGATCAATGGGTAAACAAAATGTGGTATATCTATACAATGACGAACCTTGAAAACATGCCAAGAGAAATCAGTCACAAAAAGACAAATACTATATGGTTTCACTTGTATAAAATAAGCAAGTACATAGAAACCAAAACGTATTAATGGTCACCAGGGGTGAGAACACAAACCAAAAACTCATTGCCTTCAAGTCGACCTCAACTCATAGCAACCCTATAGGACACAGCAGAACTGCCCCATAGCATTTCCAAGGCTACAAATCTTTAGGGAAGCAGACTGCCTCATCTTTCTCCAACAGAGTAGCTAGTGGCTTCAAATCACCAACCTCTTGGTTAATAGCCGAATGCCTTAACCACTGCAACCACTTAGTTGCACTAACCACTTAATGTTCCTTAGAGGTTAGAAGGGAAAAGGAGGGCATTATTGTCTGGGGGGCATTGAGTTTTTGTTAATGGTGGTGGAATGTTTTGGAAGAGCAGAGCAGAAATACTGACACACATGAAAAAGGTAATAAATGTCACTGAGTTATGAATGTGGGAGTTGTGATGCTGGTGAAAGCTTTGGTGTGTATGTTTTCACCAAAATAAAAAATAAAGTCACTTACAAAAAGGCTTCTCTGGAGTCTACCCTGGTTCTCTCTCCCAAGGGCCAAGTCCCAACAGCCCACAAGGTTAGGCTGGCTGTGCTCTTAATAGTCTCACACTGTTCTTTCAATACAAGCACAATGTCTTTATAAATTAATAATAATGCCTTTATAAATTGTCTTACTTTCCACCAAAAACTACACTCTCACATTTTTCTAGAGACACTGACTCTACTGGACTGTTTTGCTTTTCCTTTTTTGTCTGACTCAGGTACCAAAAAATTATTTTTCTCTTAAATGTACAAGAAAATCAACAGCACAGCATGATGATCATTAGCAACCCCTAGAACTCAGTATGAAGACAGGGAGACTGGTGGGGACTGTAACACACTGGAGAGTCCACGCTTCATCAAAAGGGTAGAGCCAGGACTCAGCTCTGGCTGTGGGCCTTGTACACGCTGTTCATTTGCACTTCTTATCCAGCTGCTAGGGAAGTAGTGTTCTTTTCCAAGATGCAACTGTTCCATTGGGGCTTCCACCTTTATCAACTGAAGGTAGCTTTTTCCCCCTTTACAGGATCTAACCGTAAAGCCTAGTAGGAAACTGTATCTCAATAAAGCTATTTTAAAAAAAATAAAACCAAACAACTGAGCAGGCATTCAAAAATGGTGGTAATCTAAGAAAAGAAAGAGTGCAGAGAAGGAAGACTGAAGGCCAAAAGCAAGATCAAATCTATGGTCACGCCCTTTCAGATGTCCCATCTCTTTTATATAAACTCAGTGAAAAAGTATAGTGTCTGACACAAAGTAGGCAAACAGGAATTGTGATCTAAATTTTCCAAACAATCCTGTGCAACAGGTACCATTACCCCTATTTTATAGACAGGGAAACTAGTCTTGGGGAATTAAACTAGGAAGGTCTTGAAAATTATTAACCTCAAGCCACTCAACTCAGATTGCAGATGATAAAACTGAAGAGCAGAAAGACGATAAAGTCCAGATACAGTGTGGCCAAGCAAGCCACAAGGAGAGCATGAACATATTAGTCAAGTATCACAATGGTCCGAAGCCAAGCCTCAAACACAACCTATGGCTCTGAATTCAAGGTGACCTACAGGTTGCACATGCTTGCTGACACTGCACAGTCTTGAGCCCCAAACACCTGTGCAGCTGGCCTATGTATAGTTGGCTCTCATTTGCCTTTCCCTCCCTTTGCCAGGAAGCCTGGTTATTCAATGCTCCTTTAATGCTCCCAAGGGCATTTTCATTTAACCCAGATGAAAGCACTAGACAGCAGATCTTGGGGAATCTGTATAGATTGAGGGGCATTCCCTTCAACTACATACACCACTCCATGTGTTCACTCAGAGAGACAACACATAGCTGCTCTGAGGCTCCTCGGCAGACATTTACAGGCAAGGCCAAGCCTCTGGCATGGGAGAGCACAAGACCTAGGGGTTGCAAGATACAAAAAGACTTTTCCTGGGGTACATCCCTCCATTTTGTTACAGGAAAGTCCACTCTCATTTTAGGGCAAGGATCATATCAAGCGTATCAAGCCTCAGGGAGCAAACTGAGAGTAGGAGGGTAGAAAGCAAAAGAACCAAATGATATTGCCACTTCTGGAAACAGTGGTGGGGTGTTAGAGAGAGAGGTGATATAGTGTCAGAGGATCCCTCTGGCAAGAGAAATAAACAAGAAGAAAAGCCTGAGCCTCAGGAAGAAAGGTCTCAGACTGTGATTTAAAAAAAAAAAAAAAAAAAAAATTTCCAGGGAACACGTACTCAGCTGCAAACTTGTCCAGCCTCGTGAAGAGCTCATTCTTCACCTTCAGATTCTCTACAATGGCCTCCACCACCAGGTCTGTGCTGTGGACCACAGATGCTGCATCCGTGCTGGTTGATATGCTGCTCAGGGTCTTCTCAACAAACTCATCAGCAGCCTAATGTAGTGGGAGGAAGAAGAAGAGAACATTCATTGACCTCCTTGAAAATGGTAATGTGCTGCTAATGCAGAAGGGAAGAGAAGGGCTAGGATAGACCAACATACCCCAGACACCACACTTTGATGCACCCTGAACTTCTGAGAAATAAAACAGTCTACATTTCTGCTTAGGGATGACGGCATTTCAATGTACTGCTAGACACCACGGCAAGAGTCTGCTAGTGAGCAATCAATCCCAACTGCTGCTACCACTGTCCTATGTCAGTCATGCTCTTTCAAGTCCTTAGTCAGCTCTGTTCAGAATACTGAATGATCTGCTCATAACACCTATATTGGCCTATGACATCTGTTTTCAGAGTTTCCCTGAAGCCTGTAATTTGTCCCTTCCAGAACAGGGCAAAGGCTTAAGCTTAGTACTCCTCATTAGGTTTAGAATGATGCTGAATACTCCCTCTAATATGTGGCAGAGAAGAGCTGAGCAAGGGCAAGAGCCAGGGTAAGAAAGCCAACCTTAACAGCAATTCAGCAAATAATAACTGACTATCAAGGGCTAGCAATTGGTGTTTCAAAATCAAGGTAGACAGAGCCTCTGCTCTCAAAGAGCTTGCAGACTCATCTTTTCCTCATGTTCCTTCGGTGACATCAGGTTTCCACAAACACACGCCATTCATGGCATAAGCAGAGACTATGCCTCTATCACCTGCCATTTTATTTCAAGATGTAACTTGTCTATGGGGCATCAAAACGTTTGCAATCAACAAAGGCATCCAAAATCATCATGGTATAAACTAGATGAGAGCTGTTCAAAAGAAATACAATGCAAGACATATAAGTAATTTTAAGTTTTCTACTACCTGCATTATTAACTCAACATATCTAAAATATTAGTATTGTAACATGTAATCAATATAAAAAAATTATTCAGATGTTTTATATTCTTTTTTATGTTTGCACTAAATTTTTGAAACCTAGTGTCTATTTTACACTTACAATCTCATTTCAAACTAGCCACATTTAAAGTAATCAATAGCCACTTGTGACTAGTGGCTCCCATACTGGTCAGCACTGAGTTAGATAAATACAGTATGTCAACCAGGCAAGTTGAAACTGATACCTTCCTTATCCAAGGATGTCCCTGGCAGAGGTGCAAAACATTAGAATAGACTCCTGAAGATTCAGGAGTCAGGAGTTGAGCAACTTGAGCCCAGGGGCTATTTTGTTACCTTCAGGGTGTGGCCCAGAGCCTCCCCCCCCCCCACTTTACTTTCCTCTGCTTGGGCAATCTACTTCCTTAGTGATACCGCCTGGGAAACCCAAGGAGGGGTCGCTATGAGTCGGGTCCAACTCTACAGCACATAATGACAATAACAACTGATAATCAGAAGACATCTACAGAGTGAGTAAGTAAAAAATGCAGGCTATCTCAGCTCAGACTCACTCAGTTCTTGACTCCAACCAACAGCCTATAACTCTTATAGTTCCACCTCCTCAAACCCTTATCATAATACAACCTACACTAGGTCTCCCTATAGATTAAGAATATGAGGAACATGGGTATAGGGACAGATAGATAGGTGAACAAGCTAAACAATTAGGTATGTCTAAATGGAGAGTGTATCCAAGATCATATATAGGGTTGGCAGACAATGGGCCTATAAGTTCATG